GCGCTGTGCGAGCCTCTGGTGGAGAAAAAAACCTACACAGAGCCGTCTCTCTTCATGCAAATCATAGCTACCCTCCTCCCTCTACCCATCCCTCCTCCCTCCACCCCCCCTCCCTCCACCCCCCCTCCCTCCACCACCCCTCCACCACCCCCTCTCTCCACCCCCTCCCTCCACCACCCCCTCCCTCCACCCCCCACCCTCCACCCCCCCTCCCTCCACCCCCCCCCTCCCTCCACCCCCCCTCCCTCCACCCCCCCTCCCTCCACCACCCCCACCCTCCACCCCCCCTCCCTCCACCACCCCCTCCCTCCACCCCCCCTCCCTCCACCACCCCCTCCCTCCACCCCCCCTCCCTCCACCACCCCCTCCCTCCACCACCCCTCCCTCCACCCCCTCCCTCCACCACCCCCTCCCTCCATCCCCCTCCCTCCCTCCACCCCCCCTCCCTCCACTCCCCCTCCCTCCACCACCCCCTCCCTCCACCCCCCTCCCTCCACCACCCCCTCCCTCCACCCCCCTCCCTCCACCCCCCTCCCTCCACCCCCCCCCCTCCCTCCACCCCCCCTCCCTCCACTCCCCCTCCCTCCACCACCCCCTCCCTCCACCACCCCCTCCCTCCACCACCCCGTAACGCCGTCCCCCACACCCCCCATCCCCCAAACCCCTCCCCCTCCATCCCTTCCAACCCGTTCGTGGGAGGGGAGATTCATAATTAATTTGCACAAAATCACACCCAGATCTGTGATGCGCAAAGCACACACCACACATACGCATGAAGAGGTGGGCGCATGTCGCGAATTATTCCCCTGCCGCAAATTCTTCCCCTGCCGCATGCCCTCCGTGTGCGTGTGCATGTGATGTACGGAATTGTGGGTAGTGCCCAGCAAACACGGCACGTTGTACTAACGTCGGGGCCCAGGCTGCTCTCACGGGTTCCAACCACGTTCACAACCACGTTCACAACCGTTGCCCGTTTGCTGGGCGGTGGCCGTGGTTCTTGGTGCACTGCGCTTCGATCCTAGCAACCTGGGCTTTCATTCCAGGCCATGTAACGAGCCCCGTTGGCAATTTGTGTCTGAAAAATGGAAAGCTAAGCCGTAAATGAATATAGTGTGTGGGAACAACAGCAGCAGGGAGAACAGAGCGGTTCCTTTGCCTGTAAGATCAATATTGTTCACCAGCATCGATTCTTGCAAGCCTGACTGCTGATGCAGCACCACGTGTCGAAACCAGCCCAGAGTTTTGCTCATCTTGAATCAGTGCTGCTGAAATGATGCACTCCCTCAGAAGGCCATGCAGCTGATGGGTTACGTAAGAAATTATGTTATATTTTTTTCCAGTGGACAGACGGATTATATGTGAAGAAGACATATCGTCTCGTTATTTGTGTTGTACTCTCTACAACGCAATGTATGTTGAACTTCTTTTGCACCGTACGTAGCCAAGCGCACTCATCGGAGGACAACAACAAGATGGTTGCATGCGCGTTCGTACCAGTGGCATTTTTAAATAGCTCGCAAATGTAATTGCAAGCTGCAATAACAATTTGTGTCTTCCGGATAAACCGGCCACCGCCATTACAATGTGGAATTTCAATTAGCGGCTCATGGCGAGCAATTATGGATGAGCACTGCCCTTTGGTGAATTGAGCAGGGAGGAACTAAATTGGCTATGCTAGCACAAATACATATACACACCATGGGTTTTGCATGATTAAGTCGACATTTATATGGTTACATAAGGTAGATTGTGGTGATGCACCATATATTAGAATACGACGGTCAAAAGGCTTTAATGATTAAATCTTAAAACTGCATTTTCTTGCTAAGCTGCATTGCCAAAATAAATTATTGGGTAATGTCTCAAATATATGTTTTACCTTGTATTTCTTGAGTTAATGATAATAACGTTGTGCTTGCAAAAAAAGCAATCGTCTATTTATTACGCATCAGGTGTAACTGCCTGCTGGCCAGACTTACAAAGCATTGGATCGTAAAGTAGTGTAAAGTTTTAAGTTATTATTCCTGAATTTTTCTTCTGTTTTATGACCATGGCAGCCAGCCACATAGTTTCGGAAGTAATTTAGTTTGTGAATTTTAAATATATTTCAGTACGAAGGCAAATCCTGTACATCAAGAGTATTAAACACATTAATGGCACAAACATCCATTCACTATTTATTTTCTCTGCAGCAATAACTGTTCAAAAGTGCATGCCACCAAAATATACAATTAACATTTATACAAATTTGCTTTTATTTTTGTCCAGCCAGATTGCAGTTTGCAAGTTGTTGAAACGCCTATGGCTTGCTGATGAGGATGAATTTCCTGAATCCAGTCCAAATGTATCGTGTTGGGTCTTTCTTTAAAGTCACGTAGATAGAAAAAAAAAACTGACTCCCACCACCATCCATCTCAGAAGAATTTCCTCATCAAAACTCTACACCATAGAGCTCAATGTATTTCCAACTGTCATCACCTAGCCAGTGAACTGGAACACGTACACCAACCCTCAAGATTAATGGATATTCAGACCACACAATCTGTAAAGCTATCATCCCAACCATTGGGAAAGAACCATCTGAGGACCCAATCAAAACCATCGCCTTGCCATACATAGCAGGGGTCACCAAAAATATTTTCAAAATCATGAGCAAACACAAGTTCCAGGTCTCTCACAATACAATGGCCACCTCCGCATGCGATCTTACATTGACATGCTAATCTCTCACAATACAATGGCCACCTCCGCATGCGATCTTACATTGACATGCTAATCTCTCACGATGCAATGGCCACCTCCGCATGCGATCTTACATTGACATGCTAATCTCTCACGATGCAATGGCCACCTCCGCATGCGATCTTACATTGACATGCTAATCTCTCACAATACAATGGCCACCTCCGCATGCGATCTTACATTGACATGCTAATCTCTCACGATGCAATGGCCACCTCCGCGTGTGATCTTACATTGACATGCTAATCTCTCACGATACAATGGCCACCTCCGCATGTGATCTTACATTGACATGCTAATCTCTCACAATACAATGGCCACCTCCGCATGCGATCTTACATTGACATGCTAATCTCTCACAATACAATGGCCACCTCCGCATGCGATCTTACATTGACATGCTAATCTCTCACAATACAATGGCCACCTCCGCATGCGATCTTACATTGACATGCTAATCTCTCACGATGCAATGGCCACCTCCGCGTGTGATCTTACATTGACATGCTAATCTCTCACGATACAATGGCCACCTCCGCATGTGATCTTACATTGACATGCTAATCTCTCACAATACAATGGCCACCTCCGCATGCGATCTTACATTGACATGCTTATCTCTCACGATGCAATGGCCACCTCCGCATGCGATCTTACATTGACATGCTAATCTCTCACGATGCAATGGCCACCTCCGCATGCGATCTTACATTGACATGCTCATCTCTCACAATACAATGGCCACCTCCGCGCCTTCTTTGTGGAGGTGGCTCTCGGATCTTACATTTACATGCAAATTTATCACTTTAACATCACTAGCTAGACCCATTTCAAACCTTTAAAACAGCCTGCCTCAGCAGCTTCCCCCCTCTTTTTTCTCCTGATGACGATTGCTTGTGTTGCGATCGAAACGTCGTGATATTTTAATTATAATTTTTCAACTTTATTTCTATTTATTCTATTTTATTGTTATTCTTTTTTTTATCTACGTGACTTTACCGAAAGACCCAAAGAATATGAATTTCTGCAGTCACGAAAGCTTTAAGTCACGATAAAAAGAGTGTTGACCTTGGATGCCTGACAGTCACAATGTAAAATGTCTTTTGAATGTCTTCTTATATGTAGCCATACACAATGTGCAATTTGTATTTACACACTGCATGCCAAAATATTCCTCCATATCTGTATAATGCTCAATTTAATCCTGGTCACACTCAGGCACAAGGAATACCTCCCTATCCCACTGCACACGTACAGACATCCACACAGACACACCCACTGCCAACCACACACAGCTCTTCCCTTAATCTTTCCCCCTGTCCACACACACAAAGGCCCCACATCCAGCACGATGCAGATGATCAGGGCGAGTGCTGTAAGCAAGGACCTATTAGCACTTGCCCTGACAGTGTGCCAAGCTAGTTAATTCAATGCAGTACACACAGAGAGACCAGCCTCAACTCCAGATTCATATTCACATGCATTAAAAATGACAAATATTCCCCATTTAAGTCTCATAGACTGTCTCATAGACTACAGGGGAAAGTGCATTTAGGCAGCACCACACCCGGCCACCTTTGTCTCCCCATTACTGTTGTGCACTCACAAGATCAGATATTAATTTAAGGTTGAGTCAATCTAGAGGAGGACCAGGTCAGGTTCGGATGCCACTTACCGCTGTTGCACATTCTTGCGTACACTTACATGGGAAAAAATATCCCCCGTGTAACCTTGTGCTGCCTTTCGGGGTCATTGTTGTTAGAGAGCACCTACTAAGGCCAGGACGGTGCATGAGAAGGTGGTGTGAACAGCTACACACGCATCCAACCTTTGTCTCCTCGGTGTTTACATGAAGCACCGGGAATTTATTGAAGGCAGAATAAAATGACGGAAGGTCCGGGACCAGATCAGGTATCACTAACGATAGCCATGGCTCGGACTCGAGCTCAGGTCATCGGATTGCTAACAAAGAGCAAAACATCGCCCATAGAGCCTTTGACAGACTGTTGGAGCAAGCGCTGTTAGCGAGCACCTATTAAGTTCCAGAACGGCACACGGGTGACTACACACCATGTATGTATGTTGAACTTCTTCCGCATCATACGTCGCCAAACCATGCTAATCGTAGGTGCGGGGGAAGGACATCAGCACGAGAAACTAATTTACGGCTGAGTCGACCGAGGGGAGTCCCAGAACCGGCTCACATGTAACGCACACAACGCACGCAGCCAGCATCAGCTCCTCATCTCTATGCACAGGCACACAGCTCGTGCCCCACCCCAATGCACACACAGCCCCATCCGCGCCTCCCCATCCATCCCCACGAGCAGAGCAGACATACACGCGCGCAGCAGCCGTGCCACTATAAAGGGGTGAGGCTGAGTGAGAAAGGATCCGATCCCGCATCCAGCAACGTCCGCTCCCACTCGCAGGACCAACATCTTCCCCCAAGGTGAGACGCCTTGACCCGTAGTCATTCCTCCACGGCCATTCGTTCCTTCATTCATATGTTTCTGTGTTCGTGCATTCATTCTCCGGACAGTCGGTGCCAGAGCTCAAGATATTGACAGTCATACGTGATCGTGGTGCGTGCCAATTCCCTTATAATTGGCGTGTTGCAAAACGGTATGCATACGAATGCATACATTTTTGTATTTAACAGTGTATTCGGTTATGGATTGATTTCATTGAGATTGAATATATAATGTGCGCTGTTTGGTTGTAGGAACATGAAAGGTCATCCCTGCGCATAGCGGCAACGGCAATGCAGGGATGAAGGTTATTCTAATTCAGGCTATTGTTAGGGTTGGGGGTGAATTGCTCTCACAGTGGTTATTCTTTGGAACAATGTTTGCAAATATGATGGTGATAATATATCTTGTGCAGTATGTGGTTTCCTATATGTGGATAGCAAACAACCATATGTAGAATTATTTACATATAGGTATCTAATTAAGAGTATATGATGCATTCGGTACTAATTCCTCGACGTGTAAAAAACAATTCAGTTATATTTTGATATATATAATTTACAGTGTCACATACATAAATTACAGTATAAAATATATACATATAGCGCGTATTTTTGTTTATATAGTGCAAAATATGGCGTCATTGCGTGTAGAGTGGTAGCGATTAAACTGTTAGCGCACTCTTGCTTGGACAACTCATCAAGCTGAGAATTTAATTCCTGACCATGGCCAACATCAGTGGCAAGTGTTATCTGAACCTGCCCCGGCCCACCGGGTTCCATCGCGTTTCACCAGTCAATAATAATGACCAGTGCGGAGAAGTATGGCCATACAACATCCACGAACAACACCCGGGTGGGGAGGCCTTATCCAACAGTGCACTGACAAAGGGTTGAGCGTAAATAATAATTTAATTGATAATAGGTTTTTTCCCCTTTTTTCTGTTTGCATTCTGACCACAAGCATCGTGGTTAATGCAGACATGATTCCGTGCAAAAGGTTTCAGTTTGGTGTTTTAACATCTTAACACCTGTTTTGTTGCCAGAAAAAAGGGGAAAACCCTATTATCATATGTTGGTACTGGCAATGGAGGTCCCATGATACTATTTGAATTGTCCATAATTGGCATTATTCATCATTGTCACGCACGTGAATTGCAAACTGCCGCGCGCATGGAATGTACTCATTCGTGTTTTTATATGTTACCATTCTTGAAGTCATCCTCACTGTGTTCACCACCGCCATCATCATCATCAAACCGTTAATGTCCATTGGAAGGGCGCTCAAATGCCGGTGCGACCTGCCGCCCCTCTCGGCGTCTGTGCCTCCCTATGCAATGCCCACAGCGCGTTGCGCTCCTCGTTTAGCAGCGGACTCAAGGTGCACGCTCAGAACGTGAAATCTCTACCCCTCCACGCCCACTGCTGCCACTGCTGCTGTCTCTCTGCTCCTCCCCTGCCTCTCTGCAGTGCTTCGGTGGTGGCTCGCCCGTTTTTATTATCGTTGTTATTAATGCCGCTGGATTACGGCACCCGCGGTGCAGGTGACGGGGGCTGCTATTTAGTTGCTGGTCAATGTTCACTCGCCGCTGAGCCGGTTTTGCTCAAGGACGATGGTTAGATTCCTCGAACGGCCCTCGAATGTCTGCAGGGAATTAGCTTAGTCCACTGAAACAAACATGGGGGAGGGGGGAGGAGGAGGAGGTCAAATAATGAAATGAAATATTTTGATTACTTTTCATTCGGACTCTTATTTACGTGGGGTTAAAAGCCAACTTACGGATCGGGCCAGTTGTCAGAATCAGGGATTAGTGCTCTGGTTCGAGGTTGGTGGCGTTTGATCCTGGTGAGTGTGAAGGGTGCCCCGTGAGGATTGGTGAGCATTTGAGTCAGAAATCAGAGCAGGTGTTGGGCATTCGGGTTTGGGTTACGAATACAGTTTTGCAGTGTTGGAAGTCAGGTAAACAGTCCTATATAAATAGCATCAGGGTTAGAGTTGTGACCTCAAAATGGATTGGGTGTTAGGGAAAGGTTTGGCATTAAGATTATAAATTAATGGTGAAGTCTTTTATTAGAAAAAGGGTGAATGTTTTAGTTGGGAGAATATGCTTTTAATTATGGACAGGTTGTAAAGGGAATGTATTGTACAATCAGGGTTAGCATTGATAAGGTCTGCAAGTGTGGATTCCTATCGCATTGTACCTCAGTTTTGCGTATATCAACAGTATAAAACCGGTTCTGTGTAGAATTACGTAGAATGTGGTCATGTACGTATGGTAATAATTTTCTTATGTAGTGTCCTCTGTTGTGAAGTCTACGGTTAACGCTCTCTCAATCATAATATACCACAGGAGGCCATCGTGTGACAATATCAAATCCCAATATGAAATACTCTAGGTGTAATCTTGATTTGAAGCTTTCGTGACTGCAGGAATCCATATTGTTTGGTTCTTTCGGTAAAGTCACGTAGGTATAAAATAAAATAAATCACGACGTTTCGATCGCAACACAAGCGGTCGTCTCAGGCGGAAAAAATATAATCCTGGAGGTGTAGTAAAACATCAATAGTAGCCATTCTTGCGTAATACCAAAAAAGCAACACCTTCACATACTACATAGATGTATACAATATCTCAATGGGCGTTCATCTGGCTAAACAAAGGATGCTGAATCAAATTGCTGACAGGAACGTTAAAAGGCAGTAACTTGGCAGCACCTCGACCCCTCTATTTGACCGAAATCGCGGCGCAGTATGCATCGCGTGCTACGTGGACCGGAGGGTGCAATCGTTGACATCGCTGCGCCGTGAACCTGGGTTCAATTCCCGAGCATGCTCAGTGCAAGTGACGCACAATGAACTCTAAACCGCTCCTTGGACACATCACCCTCATCGCTTCACGGTCCCAGACTGACCGGAGTGGTGAAGTATGTCTCGAACCAACTCTCACGATCGACACTGTTGAAAGAAGGCCCTCGTCCAGCAGTGGATAGATTTAGGGATGATTTAAAAATGTAATCATGATTACGCAATCGTATTTTATTACATTGGCTGCATTCAGCCGGGCACAATTGACCGATCGCTGTCTCTGCGTTCAGAATCTCAAAACGAGCAGTCTGCAATGTCGACGCTTAACATCCGTTCTCAGGATAGTGACGAGCAATCAATCTAAACAACGCCCTTCTCTGCATGCGTACATCCCATCTGTTAACATTGATCTCTGGGTGACGTCACTCGCTTCAGCGCTCGTGCACGGCTCCTGACGCAACGCAGCAAGGGGCCCGCGCAGTGGCACAAAGGAGCGTTGGCACCCAGAGCCGGATTTGACACGGCCTTTCTGCGGTCATTAAGACATACACACGTAGCCAAATGGCGAGGTATTGATGAGAGCATATCATGGAGGTCGGGTGTCAACTACATTATAGTCGAGAGTGTCATGATCTGGCAGAGGGCAGGAAGCGATGGCGAGCTGTGGTGGCATCACCGTCATGACCTGCAGACTTGATTACATTATTTATAATAAAACAAAATTTTACCAGGTAAGGCCCACTGAGCTATGTAGCTCTTTTTTTAGAAGCGACCCGCCCACAAAAGATAGCCCAAGGAAGTGGCTTATCACGTGGAAGTTTGTAGCAGCTAAAATCCACGCGAACACGAACAAGGCGTCAGGGTCGGGGTCAAACCCAGGACCTCCTGTATACCAGGCGAGGGAGTTAACATCTCGCCACTCAGTTGTCCCACGAACTCCTTTGGTCAGCAGGGCATCGTGACTCATCAGGGGATGGCGCTGAAAGATGAGGCCACATCACATTCACCTGTTGTACTCAAAAGTAGATGGTGCTTCCTGACGATCTTTTAAAATCTGGCTTACTCAACGCCAGAATTAGGTAAATGTTAATCATCAGTGCAAGAATGGGCTCAATTAAATGCACGTATATATATGTGACCCCTCTCTCCATTAAGCTTACATTCCACACACTCCTTTTCCCTCGTACTCCTCTTTGCTGTCATCTCTCCTCCCCCTTCCATCCTCTCGTTGCTTGGCTCTCCAGCCTGCATTCGGCCAGCGTTTGTTTGATGTATCACCGAAGAGCCTGCATTAAAAAAACAAATATGATGGAATTGGTGGATAGGCTGATAATATAATATCAGCTCACAACACTTGAACATCTAATTTACGGGTGATTAGCTGGATCCAAACACAATATCTTAACTGTGCTGATTTAATGCTCTATCATGGCAATCATGACCCCCCCCCCCAACTACGCATCTGCCACGTGTCATGCTGACTGCTATGCCCATATCAGTGCCACCGAGTTAGAATTGCTGACATTCGGGGTTAAAATCCTGGACTCCAGTTTGATGGACTTCATCCAGTCACCAGTGATGATATAAACACCCATTAGCATTCGGTTTCAGACCTCATTCAGTACAGGGCAGCTGTGCAGGTTATTGTTCTTTGTAAGATGAACCGAGAGTGACTCTCTCTAAAGTGTTCGAGTTTATTTGTTTAACCAGGGTGGGAACTCAAGACACCAGGGTTAGAGTCTCATTTGCGAGGGTGACCTGGATCACCAAAATGGCAAAAGTAAAACAAATAAAATCATAAAACAGCCTTGAGGTGAATGGAAATCGGAACAAAAAGAATTGTGTCGCCTGAGAAGTTGAAAACATTGCAGACAGACATCAGTGTTAAACAATACACTCCCTTCGATTTAAAGCTTTCGTGACTGCAGGGATTCATCTTCTTGGTTTTTTCGGTAAAGTCACGTAGAAGGGAAGTAATACAATAATAAAACATAATAAAATAAAATTACTTCCCTTCTATGTGACTTTACCGAAAGAACCAAGAAGATGAATACATCCCTGTAAGATAAGTTGGCTTGTGCAGATTATTTTTTTAACTGATCATAGTAGAATTTCAAAATAAAATTACAGAAACATTAACAGATACGGGGGTGACTATTGTACGTAAACAGACAAG